GGGAGGGACAAGCGCGGGGGTGGGAGAGGGGCTGGGGGCAGGTACCAGGGCAGGGGGAGGGTTGGGGGTAGTTTATGGGTTGAGGGACAGAGGAGGGGCAATCCCTTGGGTGGGGGACAGGTGCCAGGGCAGGGGGGATCAAAGGGGCAATTCTTGGGGCAGGGGAGGAGCCGGGGGCGGCAGGGGTCAAGGTGGGGCATTGCAGAGTCACCCCCTGCGCAGGCGGTGACTGGGCAGCTGCACAAGGACTCGAGCGATTTGGCCCCAAAGGCCTGCTGGCCGCCCCCCAGGTGGGTTGGCCATGCCCGCCTCGAGCTGTGTACACTGGCGCGCAGCCGGGAGCAGATGCTGGAGCCCGGACGTGCCTCCACGCCCCACGGACACTCCCGCCATGTTTAGCCCAGCTCTTCGTGCCATGCCAGGCAGCCTGTCTCTGGACTCGCTCTGACGCTGTACTGGGGAGTTAAGGGGAAGGGACTGCAGATGCCCAGAGCAAGGCGGCAAAGCAGATCACCTGCATGTGGGATGGGAAATGATGGTCCTGATTTGGCACCCTGTGTCCGTCCACACCTGGTCCCTTAGGAGCATTTGGAGAGTGAGAGTGCAGCTTTGCAGGCTCTGACCCTGGCAGAGCCCCCACCCTGGGAGATATTCAGTGCACCGAGTCCCCCCCGTCCAGTCCATGTAGGAGCCATTTCCCCTCATGCCCCTCCTCGAGTATCCCTTCCAGTATGGGCTGCGTCTGCTGCTCTTACCCCTGCTCACCCAACCAGGGGAAGGCAAATTGCTACCTGCCACCCTGGATTGGGAGGGGACCATCATCACCTTCAGAAAATATCCCCACGCTGAAGGTTTTTAAGCCCTTCTGATGAAAAGATCCAGCGATGCAAAGGGAAAAGGTTTTGTTTAAAATAGCCCGAAAGGAAGGGGGGGAAGGAAATCCCAAAATAAATGTTCCCTAATAGGGGAACTCCCCCCCCCACCCCCAGCTAGTGGCATGGGTGGACAGGAAGGATGAACTGCAAAAGGCTGAAACTGGGTTAATTTACATTGCATTTTGCCCTGTCTCCAGAAATGACATCTTCAGCAGAGACCGTTTTTTTTTCCCCCAGTCCTGCCCACCCCTCAGCTGGGAATCCCACCAAAGGGCCCTTCCCCTGGCAGCAGAGCACCAGCGACCATCTGCCCTCAAGTCAAATGGTCCCCTCATTCATTTCTGCCTCAAACCCCTGCCAAAGATGGGCTTTGTTGTAGACCAGGGAGGTTCACACCTTTGTGCAGAGGAGTCATAATGGATGTGCGTGACTTGACACAGCTGGAGTCACTGCTCCAGACTCATTATCATTAGGATACTGGCATGTCTCGCTGTACAGCCAGCGACCCTGGGCCCGTTGCACTAAGTGCTACACACGCACAAGCAAAGGTGTCCCTTGCCCCTAAAGTGATCAGCACTAGAATAGCTCTGACCTTCTTTTTCTCTGCTTACCCCAAATGCTCCCACCCGCACAGCTGAGTCCAGAGACAGGTTGGGGGAAAGGCGCCTGTGGTGGATGCTCCATATAACCACGAAGGGGCACAAGTATTCAGGCTAACAGCTGTTGTGAAGGCTGGTTTTGGTTTCAGGAGGCATCCGTCATAGAGCAAAACTAACAACGTGCAATTCAGATCACCAGGCAAAGAGTTTGGGAATAAAGGTAACTCAGACCAACAGTCGGGACAAAGAGTTTGCAAGTCTTCCTAATTACTTGTTGTTATTAATAATGACAAACAACTAATACCTGGGCAAAAATGACCCAAAATGTATTATACTTACACTAGAATGGCCTCTACACACGCTGTTACTCAGGCCTTTAGTGGGCCTTATTCCCCTCAACTGATGTCAGGGGATGGGGGTCATGGCTCCTACCCCCTGAGAACGGCTCCTTCCAGGGGGATATTGGCCCCAGCCCTCCACAGGTCCCTGGGGTTGGGGTCTCAGCAGCCCAGGCCTTGAGGGGACATTAATTCCTTTAGCGAATGTTAGAGGATGGGGGTCATGAGGGTCCATTTATCCTGTCACCATTGGGACAGACCCCAGTTGCCCAACTGGGAGTGTGGGGGAGTGAAGTGAAAAAAGTTTGGATAGGGATGATCCTGCCTCAGGCAGGAGGTTGATCTACATGATCTCAGGAGCTCCCTTCCTGCCCTACTTCTCTATGACTATGACCATGACCATGACTCAGGCTGGCTCCTTCTCATCAGGTGCCTGACACCTGCTTGCAGAGCCCGCTACATCCCCCTACTGCTCACAGCCCCCTGCTCCTCAAGGGGTGTTAGAAAGGGCTCCATTTGTCCCTCCAGGGATGTTAGCTTGGCTCCCCAGGCAACTCAGCTCCCCTGGGGAGAAGGGAAGGGCTCCCCTTGGGCTGATCAAAGCACCCATTAATGCCTTGGTTGTGCCCTAGGTTGTGGGAGGGATTTGGATGGGCCCCAGGGTAGAACACAGGGCAGAAACAGGGTTGACTCGGAAGGTTAAAGGTGAAATATCTCATGTCAGAAATTTCTGCTTTTCACCTAATCCAGTCCTCGCTCATGGAGGCTCCCTCTGTTCCCATGTCATCCCCTCGTCGTGGCTGCTTCTTCCGCTCCTGGGCAAGGAGAGACGCCTTTCCCTTTCAGCTGAAGACCAAAGATACTCAAATTTTTCTTTATTTGCACATTTTGGTTTGGGGGGCAAAATAAACAGTTGTATGGGTCATATTCCCTTGAGTCACATGCATGTTTTTCAGCCCCAGAAAAACAAAACCTCTTTGCTAATTTTCATTGACATTTTGTATTCCTTTATTTACTTGTCAGCAAAATATTTTGCAGAGTTCATTTTGCTGGAAACTATTATTTCTTTCTTCACCAAAGACACTTTTTTAAATACTAAGAAACGATAAATATTTACATGTAAGGTTTATCCCATTCAGGCTTTGTATCAGAAATTGTTTAGAGGAAAATCAGAAAATCACATTTAAAAATTAAAAGCAATTTAAAAAACTATTAAATTCCCAAAAAAAATTGTACAAGAAAGATTACGCATGCTTTGCACCCCTGTGGTCTAAAGTCTTTGGCAGAGCAGTTCATTGGTAACATACCCTTGGCTGTTCCCCTTTCTGAGATATCCTGTGCCCCGAACTTTCGGATTGAAGCCTTCCTGGATCCCCCTCTTGATGCAGACAAATTTGAGTGTGTGAATGAAACCAAGATTTTTTTTTCCCCCACAAGACACTCCTGACTTTAGCAAAGGCAAGAGCAGAAAGACACAGAGGAAACATTTCCCAGAGACTGGAGAAGGCAGGAGAAAGGCAAGGTTCTCCACCTTGGGAGGAAAAACCTGCAGCATCCTTATAGGCTCAGCAGTGCTACGCTGGCTAGCACAATGGAAGAAAGAGACTTGGGGGTCATCATTGACCACAAGATGAACGTGAGCCTGCAGTGCGATGCTGCGGCTAATAAAGCAAGCAAAACGCTTGCCTGCATCCATAGATGCGTCTCAAGCAAATCCTGGGACGTCATTCTCCCCTTGTACTCAGCCTTGGTGAGGCCACAGCTGGAGTACTGCGTCCAGTTTTGGGCCCCACAATTTGAAAAGGATGTGGAGAAGCCTGAGAGGGTGCAGAGGAGAGCCACGCGCATGATCAGAGGTCAGGAAAACAGACCTTACGACAACAGGCTGAGAGCTATGGGGCTCTTTAGCCTGGAAAAGCGCAGGCTCAGGGGCGGTCTGGTGGCCACCTATAAGTTCATCAGTGCTGTTCAGCAGCATCTGGGGGGATGATTGTTCACCAGAGTGCCCCAAGGGATGACGAGGTCGAACGGTTATAAACTCCTGCAAGACCGTTTTTGGGTGGACATAAGGAAGGCAGTCCTGGTGGGGTTCCCCCTGCCTTCACCCAGGGACCCTCCATGTGTCAGCCAGGGAAGCCCATGCCACCCATGCCACCAGGATGGCCCCAACCACAGCCATGGCACAGGAAGTCTAAGTTACTCCCTTCCCCCATAGTGAGCAGGCCCACGGCATGAGCAGCACAAGGCATGGGATTGGGGTGGGGAAGAGCTAGTCCTCTGTCAGAGGATGCTTAAGGGCTGGATGCTTGCAGGTCATACATCCTCATCGTTGTCTCCTGGGGCTATAAATGCAGACGGCATTTCAAGGCTCAGAGGCTGATGATGCTTGTGGGGGTTTGGGGGGCCCTTGGTTCCAGTATCTCTGGCAGGGGCAAAGAGGGCTTCAGATATGTCACTGTCTTAGGTGCTGGCTGCCATGGCCATGGGGAAGAGCAGTTTTTCCTCTCAGAGGGATGCAGTCGCTATGTGAATGCCTGTTCCCAGCTACTGTCATGGCCATGGCTCAGAAGCTGCCCAGCAAGGGGACAATGGGGAAAGTATACTACCCCTTCCACGAGGCGGTCAGATGGCTAGCTGATGGTTAGCCTCTCCCATGTGGACGTCCCTTCCAGCTCTTGTGATATAGAGTTTATTGAGTTTTGTGGCAATATGATTGATGGAAGCCACTGTCTTGAAGTGGGCCATCCTCACCTCTACTCCCGTTAGGTTATGCTGAATTTTCTGTGTTCTGGAAGAGTGGAGGGGACCAGTCCAGGCCTGTTTGCTCCTGGAAGAGAGTTTGCTGGACAGCTGTTCACTTTCTGGCAGAACACATCTCCCAAAAATGTTTCCAAGCCCATTTCCCCATCTCCTGTCCATGCTGTGGTCAAGTTAATCGAGATGGAAAGTTCACCCGCACTGCCACCCTGTGGCTCCCACCCCAACAGCTTCCACAAGTGTAGTGGGAATAGACCCTGGCATGGCCAAGTATTGCCAGAGCCTTTCCTAGCATTCTTATGGGGGGAAATATAACTCATTAGCAGATCATGGCAAAGGAAAGTAGGGCTGGAAGGGACTTCCATACCTCATCTAGACCAGCCATCCCAGGCAAGTCCCTGCCTAACCTATCCCTAAAACTACACATTCAACCCTACCCCACAACTACAAGGCAAAAACATCAAAACCATGTTATCCTGCCACAGGTAAGGACTACAGCAGTCTGTGTCCTTATGACACAAGCGTTGTTAAAAAGCAGTCAAGGGATGAGTTCACTGTAAAATTAGAAGATTTGAGAGGCAAAAGTCAGCTGTAGTTACTTATGAGGTACTTCAACAGCAATGTGCTTCAAGCTTTCTAGCTGCTGCTGCTGATTTGGATGTAAGGAAGAACTTCTTTATGGTAAGGGTGACCAGCGTCTGGAATAGACTTCCCAAGGAGGTGGTGCAGTCCCCAACCTTGGTTCAAGAGGAGCCTGGACGGACACCTTGCTGGGATTTTTTGATCTCAGCAGTATTCCTGCTGAACAGGGGGATTGCACCCAATGATCTTTTGAGCTCCCTTCCAGCCCTTAATTTCTATGATTTGCTCTCAACCTTTCCCATAGCCTCACTGGAAGAATAAGTATCTCTTTAAAGACCCATATGATCTATTCATCTCTGATATCCCTTGAAAGCCCTGTCACAGGTCCCTTCTCCCCTACCCCCAGGCTTCTGCTCCTTGTAAATAAGGGGCAAGTGAGTCCAGGTTAGGACAGTACTGTTGTTGCATCTCTGCCTGAGACAAGGAGGCTGTGGGCAGGTACCAGGTGAGAGAAAATAGGGCCATGCTCTTGCCTGGATGAAAAGCTGTCTTGGAGCCAGTCCAGTAAGCAGGACCAGCTTGATTTGTTTGGGAGGAAAGCAAAGAAAGATTTTAAAATGTTGGAAGGCACTCAGAGATATAGGCACAAACTCCAACCTAGGTAGGGGACTCCAAGTTCCTCTCTGACCCAAACCAGGTGGCAGATTCTGCCTCCTCACTGACATGTTCAGCCTTGTAAAAGTAGCACCTGCCCTGAGCCGTTCTCCTGTACCATTGGGGTGAACGTCAGAGAGACCCTGGGTGTGTGCTGGCTGGTCTACCCTAAACAAATATTTAACCTGGGCAGAGGGAGGCTGGAAAGTGCATTAGCAGATGGGGCTACCTATGTGGCAGAGAAGAAAATACTGTAAGGAATGCAGCCAGGACTGTTCCCATCTGGAATATCCTTTGGAGACACAGCAGGAGCCCTAAAGATTGGGGGTGTCTGTATGGATGAGTGCAAAATCAGTGTGAGGAACTGGCTTGGGAAAGGGACAAACGCATCTGGACCCCAAAGGGACATGGCCTCTGAATCTGCCTTCTGTGTTGACTTGGACTCTACAAAGCCTGGCTGCCCTGACTCCAGGGCTGTCTCTGCTGTTCCAGCTGACCAGCACACGTCAGCTATCACTGGGGATCCGGCTTATCTTGCTGTAGTTCCCTGAGTGGCACTCCTGGCCTTATGGAGCAACAGAGCCAATTGGAGATGGTGGGGCTATGGAGACAGCAGGTGATGCTGTGACCCAGAACGATCTCTCAGTTCCAGGAGTCATGGATTTCATCTTGGCCATCACATACAGCTGAGCTTGCAGAGGTGTTGGAGACAGAGGGAAGCCTGGGTGCACGGAACAAGCAAAGCAGTGAACCAAAGAAGAGGCCTGGGAGCTTCCTGGGATAAAGCAATCAAGAACCGATTCGTGGATATTCCCTTTATTGAGCTCCTTGTCCAAACTGGGTCTATCGCAGGACCAGCGGAACTGCCTGGGTGATATAGAACCAGACAAGATAATCAATACAGTAAAAAACTGATGACAATAAAGTGCCCTAAACACCACAGGAAGGAAAAGGAAGTGATCACCTTGCTACCACAGGTGGTAGTAGCCTAGGACTTGACAGTTCAAGAAAGATTGTCCGTTTTCAGGGCAACTTTGGTATTGTGTCTCCCCACTTTTATCCTCTCTGCTGCCTGGCTCCATCACTTAAATCTTACCTGTTGTCTTCTCTGTCCCAGCTGTCACCAGATGCTACCAGAACTTCCTATGTGAGACACTCCACATGGAAGCAGGAAGAAGCTGGGGGCATTACAGTCCACAATTTGAACCCTTATGCTCATTGCCCAAGGAGGATGAGGGAAACTGCCCCCCATTCAGCACAATGATCCTGTTCCCGTGGGTTCGCTGGTGCTTCTTCAGGGCAGAGCTCTGCTGGAAACACTTCTGGCACTGGAGACAGCGGTACGGCTTCTCCCCCGTGTGCACACGCACGTGATTGGTGAGTTTGGAGCTCTCAGCAAAGCTCTTCCCACACTGGCTGCAAGAAAATGGTTTCTCCCCCGTGTGCACACGCACGTGATTGGTGAGTTTGGAGCTCTCAGCAAAGCTCTTCCCACAATGGCTGCAGGAGAAGGGTTTCTCCCCTGTGTGTATACGCATGTGCACAGCAAGTGAGGAGCTCTCAGTGAAGCTCTTCCCACAGTGGCTGCAGGAGTATGGCTTCTCACCTGTGTGCACACGCAGGTGGTTTGTAAGTGTTGACCTCTTGGAGAAGCTCTTCCCACACTGGCTGCAGGGAAAGGGTTTCTCTCCTGTGTGCACACGGAGGTGATTGGTGAGATTGGAGCTTTGCGTGAAGCTCTTCCCACACTGGGTGCAAGAGAATGGCTTCTCCCCCGTATGCACGCGCAGGTGATCAGTGAGGTTGGAGTTTTGGGTAAAACTCTTCCCACAATGTGTGCAGGAGAAGGGTTTCTCCCCCGTGTGCACACGCAGGTGATTGGTGAGGTTGGAGCTCTGTGTGAAGCTCTTCCCGCACTGGCTGCAAGAAAATGGTTTCTCCCCTGTGTGTACACGCACGTGATTGGCGAGTTTGGAGTTCTCCGCAAAGCTCTTCCCACACTGGCTGCAGGAGAAGGGTTTCTCCCCTGTGTGCACACGCACGTGCACAGCAAGTGTGGAGCTCTCAGTGAAGTTCTTCCCACACTGGCTGCAGGAGTACGGCTTCTCCCCTGTGTGCACACGCAAGTGGTTACTAAGTATTGACCTCTTGGAAAAGCTCTTCCCACACTGGCTGCAGGAGAAGGGTTTTTCTCCCGTGTGTATGCGAAGGTGATTGGTGAGATTGGAGCTCTGCGTAAAGCTCTTCCCACACTGGATGCAAGAGAATGGCTTCTCTCCTGTGTGCACACGCAGGTGATCAGTGAGATTGGAGTTCTGGGTAAAACTCTTCCCACAATGGCTGCAGGAGAAGGGTTTCTCCCCCGTGTGCATGCGCAGGTGATTGGTGAGACTAGAGCTGTAGGTGAAGCTCTTCCTGCACTGGCTGCAGGAGAAGGGTTTCTCCACTGTGTGCACACGCAGGTGACTGGTGAGTTTGGAGCTCTCGGTGAAGCTCTTCCCACACTGGTTGCAGAATAACATTTTCTCCCCAGTGTGCATGCACTGGTGCTGTGTGAGACTGGAGCTCTTGGTGAAGCTCTTCCCACACTGTAGGCAGGAGAATGGCTTCTCCCCAACATGCACGCATGTGTGGCTTCGCAGGTGATCCCACCTAGTGAAGCTCTTTTTGCACTCAGCACAGCGGTATAGCTGCTCCTGCATGTGTATGCCCTGATGCACTCGCAGGTCTTTTAGGGAGACAAAGCTCCTCCCACACTCTGGGCAGAGATGGGGGTGCTCCCCTGAGTACATTTTTTGGTGCCCAAGAAGAGGGCATGGATGGTGGAAGCTGTCCCCACGCTCAACACAAGGCTTGACATTCTCCCTCCAGTGGGCTCTCCTGTGGGCCCCAAGTTCCTCTTTGTCCCAAAAGCTCTCACTGGGCAGCCCACATATATGCAGCCCTTGCCTGCCAGAACCCATGCCCTTGGGGCTCTTCAGGTTTCTCTGCCCTTCAAATCCTTCCCTGTTTCTTTCAATCTCCACTGTTCTCTGTCCCTGTTGGTGGGGGAGCTGGTTTCTGGCCTGAAACAGCTTCAGGTTGGTAGGCCCTTCCTCATGAGGCTGCTGCTGCTCAGCTCTGCCCAGTGTTTCAGTATCTGTTGGGTAGACAAGAGCCCAGAAATTAGTCCCTGTCTAGCTGCAAAAGGAAAGATCTGCGATTATCCCTTGTTGGGATGTGCCCCAGACCCTGGATGGGCCTAGGTTCCTCTGTGTATGAGAAGAGGTCCAATTCCACATGGACTCTGGGTCTCAGGTCTCATAGGTTACATCTCTTGTGCCCCAGTTGTGGAGCAGAACATGGGCAATTCTGGTAAACACAAAGACATGGGTGACAGGGGGCCTCCTGAGTCTGGGGGGGCACCTGTGGGGCACAACTGGGAGGGGGAGGTTCCCCAGCAGCTGATCGCAGCAACCAGGGGTGGGGAGGGCGGGTCCCCAGCAGCCAATCGTGGCAACCAGTGTGTGTGTGTGTGTGTGCGCGCATGTGTGGGGTGAGGGGGGTGGCAGGGGGTGGTCCCCAACAGCTAGTCACCGAGTATGCCAGTGGCACAGTGGAAGTGCCACCCATGTCCCACCAGCAGAGCCAATTTTACGGGGGGCACGAGTGCTCTCCATGTCCCCCTATCAGCCAGAGCGCTTGCTTTCATGGGGGGTCACCAGAGCTCTTGGGGG